TCTTTAATCTTCAAATCGAAAGTGCAGAATGTGTATATCTTGAAACAAATCTTATTCCTGCTATGAGAAATTGAATCTACTTAATCATTCAGTATTGTTGCCACCTTATCTCTAAAAGAATTAATTTCTACTGAAAAATCAAGCTCCATTTTTTTTTCCAATTAAAGTAACACTTGCTCAGTTTCATTTTGCAAGGTTCAAGTAATCAAGTGCACTCCACGGAGTCCGTGTCTTGCATTCCACGTTCCTTGTTAACACAATAAATACATTCCTAAAGCTAAATTAAATGCACATGTGGGCACAGGAAGTCAGAATTTATATCTAAATAAATATATTTGATGGAACGATCTAAAAAAGCATAGAACTCTGTGAAATGAAATCCATCCTTTGCATGACAAATCAGAACTTTGTATCCAATTCATGATTGTAACATAGCTACTTCACATTTTCAATACTTATACATATTTCTTTTCATATCTCCTTAACTTTTCATATTATACAAGCCTCAGTCCATTCAGTTTGTTCATTTAGAAAGAAACCTTTTCCCCGGGCTATTTTCTAAATCAGCATCTTGGTTAGACAGACACTCCAGATACTTTGAACTGTGTACTATAGTACCATGTGGCAATGGAATAATTATACTTTTGTTTATTCACTGCTTTTATTCCCAATAAAGTGGACTGTAAAAAGAAAGGGGTGATATAAAAGTTTGTGTAGGTAATCAAAATATTAAAAATGATCCATTTCCAATAGATAGTAAGTTTAATTTTGAAAAGTGGCTAGCATAAGTTGACCTCAGGAAAACAACAACAACTAAGAGTTGGGCAATTTCCAATTCGGGATCAATCATTTTGTAGAGGATGAGGATGAAAATATTGCATTCCATCCAGACTGGAATGTAATGGAAGCAGATTAAAGCAAGAGTTCTCAACTTTTGTGACCAGTGACCATTTCAAATGAATTTGTACAACTTCCAACCTATGAATAAAACTAATGATTTGAATGTGGCTAGGATTGGACAAAAATCATCCCGCCTCTTACTTTTAATACATCTTTCTGCATTAAATAAATTAATGATAAAAATGTGCAACTTTATAAAATAAATCTGTTCCACTGGAAATAAGACAAAAATACAACAAACTAGTAACCTTTAAAAACTTTTTTTTTAATGGGGAGGCTTACTTTTGCATAATTCCTGACATCTGCTTTTGCTTTTGAATAGAGTCAGAAAGAAAAATTAACTTCTCTTAAACTGTTGCAACTTGCAAAACACGGGCAAGGGCTGCTTTCGGAATTCTCTTTCCCTGCACAGCCTCAGTGAGACAGTAACCACAGCCCATCTTTTCTTTCCCATCCAGTCTTTTCCCTCCTCCCAGCAGCCTTTCCAGCTCTGCCTTCCATTGCAATTGCCTCTGCACAGGGAGCATCAAATCACATGGAAATAGCTTTGCTGTCAAGCTTAATTGATCAGCGGAAGATTGTCAAATCCAGGACTGTCACTTCTAACTCCAAAACAAACAGCTTAAGAACAAGAAGTGAAACAAATTGCTAAAGTTGATGGGGAAAGTCAATAGACTGAATATTTCAATGATATTTAGCAGCAATTCAAAACCACAATAACAGAAACTCAACTAGAATGTGTACGGCAGGTAAAACGAGGTCAAATTATGTCCATCGCTGTTCAGCATGGCTAAAAATGGCATCAAGAAAGCTGTTAGAACAAAAAATAAATTTCCCAGCTAAACAAGAATTTTTAAAAAGGGATGTAAACTTGTTCAAAATAAAGACAGAAAGGCAGAAGGAAAACAGAAAGAGAAACATGCCCTATGTTTGTGCTTCCCATAGGCATCTGGTTGTTACTGTGAGACTAACAAACTCTTGTAATTGTCTGATCCAGGAGGATTCTTCTGTTCTTTTGACAGCGAAGGGCAGAAGCTGATCTGGGCTAAATTCAGTCTGTAGCACTATTATTTTGTGAATGGGAATTGTCAACAGACTGAGATTTTTCTCACAGCCAATATGTGCTGCCATATGCTGATGACAACACAGCGTTAACTGGAATACCCTTAGTCATTTCCTGCTTTAAAGTTACTTATCAACTTGTGTAATCAAAACAAGACAACTTTAATTGAGATAATGTATCAGCACCCTTGGTGAAACTGATGCAGGACGGCGCTAGTGACACCAAGTTGAAACCAGACAGTACTTGGTTTGATTTTCATATTTTTCCTTAGTATTTCCAGGAACATCTCTTTAATACTATCATTACACTCCCAAGCACTTAGACAGAATGTAACAAAGGCATGGGTGAGAGAGTTGAAAGACTGACTGTGAGTCACCTAATAGACATGATGATATAGTGAGTTCCATAAGGTTCAGCCAGCTATACCTTACCTAACAGCCGCATTAGAACTGGTAGCAATGTACAGCCAATCAGAATCTTCTAGAGTGGGTGGCTCTAATAAATGCAATGACATAAAGAAATAAATATCATGGGGAAAAGACACTCAGAAAATTGCTACTATATTTTGAGTAGGATGGGAGGAATCCCCTTCTCCAAAACTATGTATTTAGGCTTTCATCCAGCTACGATTACTTATGTTTAAGATTTAGTACCTAGAGAATGTAAATGAGATGGCAGCCTATGTCTGTCCTGAACCACTTTGGACTGTAGGTTGAGTATTCAGTTAAAAATAAAGGAAAAATAATGTTGTTACTGCTCTTGTTGTTTTCCAAAAGATCCCTCTGAACAGAATTGTATTATGAGAATCTGCAGAGGCAGGATGTGATGAGAGATTAAAAAGGACACAATTGTATCAGGACCTTTAAAGTAGCTTTCAGATATAATAGAAGATGCTGTCCAATTGCTGTAATGAAGTAAGACACAGCTGCCTGTCATCTGGCTTTTGTACATAGAACTGAGAAGGAAACTTGTTCAGAAAATCTTGTGTTTCATAAGAAAGCAAGTTCTTCCTGAATCAAAAGAATGAATTAGCCCAGCTTAAGCCCCACTATTTGTTCAACAAGACTTTCCCATGAGTAACCTAGACTGAAGCAAAGCCTTTGGCATGCTGGTGAAAAATGCGTGACCCATCTTGGCTTAACAAAAAGGGTGACTAATAAGAAGTGTGATGAGCACCCAAAAAAATCGCTTTGCAACTTGCTTTTAGTCTGATGAAGAGACAGACAAGGAGTGACATGATAGCAGTGTTCCAATATCTCAGGAACTGCCACAAAGAAGAGGGAGTCAAGCTATTCTCCAAAGCACCTGCAGGCAGGACAAGAAGCAACGGACGGACCAAAGAGAGAAGCAACTTAGAACTAAGGAGAAATATTCTGACAGTTAGAACAATTAACCAGTGGAACAACCTGCCTCCAGAAACTGTGAATGCTCCCACACTGGAAGTTTTTAAGAAGAGACTGGACAGCCATTTGTCTGAAATGGTATAGAGTTTCTGCCTGAGCAGGGGGTTGGACTAGATAACCTCCAAGGTCCCTTCCAACTTTATTATTATTATTATTATAGAAGTCAGCCTTTGCTTCTGTAATATCATTCTTATTATATCAATCATATTCTATGATGTACTTGTTGTCCTCCATTTACAACCATTCATTTAGTGACAGTTCAAAGTTACAACAGCACTGAAAAAAAACCTGACTAAAAACTGGTCCTCACACCTAGGATTATCACAGCATCCCCATAGTTGTGTGATCAAAATTCAGGTGCTTGGCAACTGGCATGTATTCACCAGGACTGCAGCATTGGCATTTGGGACCTTCCCAGCTGACTTCCAACAAGCAAAGTCAATGAGGGAAGTTGGATTTGCTTAATGACCATGTAACTCACTTAACAACTGCAGTGTTTCCTTTAACAACCTTGGCAAGAAAAGTCATAAAATTGGGCAACTCACTTAACAACTGCCTCCCTTAGCAACGGACGTTCTGGTCCCAATTGTGGTAACAAGTCAAGGACTGCCTATATAATTAACAACATTAATGAATTGCATGCACTGTTTGAACTGACTGATTCCACATAGCATTTACTTTCTTTAGTTGGTTCACAGACTGACTTGATCTTATTTTATTTTCACTCTCCCTTAATTAATACAACTCATTCCATTTTGGGGATTCTGTCCAGCAAACGCCAAGCACATACTAGCTACGTGGATTACCTTCAAAGACTTAAATATTCTGTATAGTACAGTTTGGATGTCCCCATAGTATGAATGGCTTAACAGACTCCAGTTCTGTCTAAATTCATCGGAATTACTTCCCAAACTTCTAAAAAAAGTATGACTAAATATTTAAGTGCATTTGTGTAGAATATTGCAATTTCACTGTAGGTACTGGCAGTAAGTACTTTTAGAACTACTAGATCATTATCTGTAGGGTCATTGACCCTCTCTGGACTTGGTTGTTTTCTCGCAGACACTTCATCACTCAACTAGGTAACATCATCATCAGTGCTGGACCTCACAGTTCAACCCTGAGCTACAAATATTCTCTTCTGTTGGTAGAAGTTCGTCATTTTTTAATCTCCGCCTTTCCAGAACACAAAGCAGATGACTTAGAGAAATATTATTCCCCCCTCCCCGTAGTTACCCTTTGCTTCTTTTGCATACCTAGGCTATTTTAGCATCTACAGTACACCAAGAAGTGCAGTTCCCCTGAAACAAACGCCCCCAAGAAAACTTCTTCAGCGGTGTGCGCAAATCTGCGCCAAACTCCCATCCCGATTCTCATCATAGCTTAGACGCAGGGGTAGTCAACCTTGGCTCTTTTAGGACTCGTGGACTTCAAGTCCCAGAATTCCCGAGCCAGCTTAGCTGGCTCGGGAATTCTGGGAGTTGAAGTCCACGAGTCCTAAAAGAGCCAAGGTTGACTACCCCTGGCTTAGAGTGAGGTGTTAAACCCGAAAAACGCGAACACCGAGTCTTCAAGAGCGCAAGGAAACCAACTTCGCACAACGCACGGGGGGGTCAGGGGCAGCCGCTCCTTACCATTGGCGTTCTTCCCGCAGATGAGATGCTCGTAGGGCTGGAGGACGCCCCAGAGCTCCGCGTCGTTGTTGATCACCGCCTCGAGGACTTCGGAGGAGACCTCGCTTCCCGCCCCGTCTCCGTCCGGGTGTTGGCTGGCCAGGACGCGGCCCTCGATCTCCTCCACCAGGTTCTCCAGGCAAGAGGCTAGAGCGATGGCCGCGTACTCGTGGATCCGCACCGAGATCCGGGTGTCCACCATCCACCTGAAAAAGCGCCCGACGGAGAAGGTGAGGCCACAGCGGGCCGACTTGCCCTTCCTGAGGCCGTCTCCGGCGCTCATGCTGTACAGCGAAAGAGCCTTGACGGTGGCCAGGACGCAACTCTCCGACAAGGACCAGCTCTGGATCAGCTTGATGGCGCTCTGGATCTCGAAGCGCGCGCACTTGGCGTGCATGACGCTCAGGCGCTGCGCTTCCCGAGAGATCCGGATCAGCGGCCTCCGGAGGAGCATCGAGAGCCTCCTCGCGGCTTCGGGGCTGAAGCCTCTCTTGGTCCCCCGCTCCCTCCCCTTCCGCAGGATCTTCTCCACGTCTTCCTCGCTCCAAGGGAACTCCTCGAGGTCGGGCAGCTTGGCGCACTTGGCGAAGATGTCCGCAACTTCGGGGTCCTCCGGCAGGACGGTGTTGACGGTATCCCAGCCGTCGTTCCGGCTGTTCATGGAGCCCGAGTAGTACCACCAGTTGCCCCGGGGCTGAGACGAGGCGAAGGCTTGGCTGTTGGACTTGCAGGACGAGAGGCTGAGGGACCTGCAGGAGTCCCCTGCCCCATACCCGGAGTCCAAGGTCAGGTCTTCCAGGGTCTTCAAAGGCGAGCTATATATCCCAGCCATAGAGAAAGCTCCGGCGGTCCCCTCCTCCGAGGCGCCCCCGCCGAGTCCCGCCGCGCGGTTCGCAAAGGCGACCGAGGACGGTCGCGAGCTATAGGCGCCGGGAGGCGAAGTCCAGTTGGGGCGGGAGCTCCCGAGGTGCCTTCGGGTTTTCACGCGTGCCAGCGCTCTCCATTCCACGGGCCGAGTGAGATCATGGCTTTTCCGTCTGGGAGACGGGATGGGAAAATCTTGGGCCAGCAGCAGAAGATGCGGAGGATCCACCAGGGCTCTGAGGAGGAGGAGGCGGCGATGCCTACCGCCTAATGGGAGGAAGGAGGGGGGAAGGAATCCTCACGCGGCTGAAGGCGAACCCGCCTTTCCCCAGCAAACGATCAGGAAAGACGGGGAGGGAGGAGAGGGAGAGAAGAAACCCAAAGCAGCCCAGAGCGGCGGCTGCTGCCTGCCGGTGTTTCCCCCCTCCGCGCCCCCGAGAGACACTTGCAGAAGCTTTGCGCGAACTTCTCTCTTCGCTGCTCTCTTCGGCTCGCCGATCGGAGGCGATATGCAAATGACCCGACGGGATGCCCACCAATCAGGAGCTCTGGGAGAGCCGGGGGGTGGGGCTCGCCGCTGTAAGGCGAGCTGGGCAACCCTTGGGTACGTAGCCTTCAGGCGGGCTTGGATGGGCGGAGCCAAGGAAGGCGGGCGGGGCGGGGTGGAAACAAGTCAGAAGTCGCGACAGGGAGGGGCGAACGGGGCGAGCGGAGGTGACAGAAGAAAGGAGCCATTGCGAGGGATTTGCAGCGAAAAGGAGCCGCGTGTGCACCATGAGTCGAGCCAGCAAAGTAAAGGTAACCGTGCCAAGGGCGGGCTGAGATTTGCTAGGTCCGATCTCTGGCCTTTTGCAGATGCACGTCTAACCTTCCCCGCCTAAACATGGTTGACTGCCAGCAACAGTGGCGAACAAGACTTGCTTCTCAGGAAGGAGGCTGCAGATGGCAACTGCTGGAGATTTGATAAGCAGCAACCCCCCGAAAGGGCTGCCTCTCCTGTGTGTTTTATAAGGCTCCAACAAATCTTATATTATGTTTTCGGAATATCTTGCATTATAAAATCCGTACTGCTTCAAATGCACATTTTGAATGGTAATTATTAATGCATTTTTCAAAATACATTTATGTGTGCCTTTCCTGAGAACATTCTCACGTAATCAACGTGAAAACGATTGAGAGCTTTGCTATTCCCTTCCCCCATGTGTAAATGAGATTCATAAGAAAATAAAACAAAATTAAATGTGCACGTCAGTATAGATTTTATAATTGCATTACAGAAGATCCTGTTTAGTCCTTCAACAATCTTGTAATACCTCATAGTTTGGAAAAGCTACATTATAAAGCCCTAATTTGGGGGCAAAGAAGAGAAAGACGAGTTTTTACAAATGTTATATCTTAAGTTACTGGCCGTAAAATAAGGTATGGGAACCTAGGGCCCTCCAGTCATTGTCAAATTATTGTTCCCAGAAGCTTGGACATGGTGTTTTTGTAATTTTGTTCCAAGATGATACCAGGCTAAGTACTTTCAAGTAACTTTTTCCTTGTGAAATCAGCATTTTCTGTGCATATATTTTATGGAAGGGCATAGAGATTTATTTATTTATTAAATTTATTTGCCACTCATCTCATTTCAAAAGGACTCTGATGATGTGATAAATAGGAAAACATGATTATTGTTTCCCGAACAACAAAAGATCTGGTAGTGGGAGAGATAGAAGAGAACAATAGTGCAGTTTTCCAGATACAGATGGGAAAATGTAGCATTGAATCAGTTACCCCAGTCTGTGTTGAGCATAACCCCTCCTGTTTTGTACTGTGTGCTGGTTGTACATTTTTTTTTGTCTTCCAAGGCTTCTCTGGGCGTAGAAAGACCCGAAAAACATAGCAATGCTTATGGCTCTGTAGACTCCTCTACAGTCTTATTACAGGCATTCTTTTGACTTTTAATTTGGAAAAAAAAGAATTAATTACAGCGTAATAGAAGTACTTTGAAATTGTGCCAATTTAAATTAAGGCAGATAATTTATAGCTTGTCCCCTTCTCCTTTTGAAGAAACAACATTGAGAAGAAATGAATAAAGTAATGTTATGTAGAGGATTTCAGCAGGCTTAGCAAAGTCAACAAAATTCTGCAAGCTTTCTTGTCTGGCTGTGAAACTGTAAAAATAAGGAGGTAGGCTAGAAATTATGTTTCAAAAAGTTATGTTAGTGGGAAACTTTTGTAGTCTTTTGGGAAACTGACCAGCAGAAACCAAGATTTCCAGTTCTAGCAAAAAAAAAGTTGCAGTTGGTTTGACTTGTGCTGTACATATATTTAAATAAGCATGTGTATGCCTAGACTAGACATGCCTACTTAATGATTTAACCAAAAAGGGGGAAAATTAACTACTGTTTGGGTTCACACATGCTAAACCATGGTTTATTTTTAAACAAAATTCAATATGTTCCAATGGCTATAATCAGGCAAAACGGCAGGCAAAAAAAGAAACCACCCACAGTGTATGAATTCAGTCTACACTGAGTCCCCAAGTTTTAAAGATTAAAAAAAAGTGCTTTTCTTTTTAATGTGGTCATTAAAAATTTCACTTCCCGCTTATAATAGAGTAAGAGTTAGCAGTTGAGCCCTACTTAGGAACACTTTCTATTATTTTATAAGGTTTAAATAATTATTTCGAGGACTTCTCAGGATTGTACTGAATTTACCATCTACAGTGCTAAAAAGAAATCTCGCTCAAAACCATTTTGTCTCTCATTAGGTAGCATAAACATTTACAAGTGATGGCTTGCAAGTTAAAATCTTCAAGTTGAAACCACTAAGTAGGTGTGTCTAGGCATATGCAGACTTATTTAAGTATATCTGCAGCACTAGTCAAATCAACTGCAGGCTTATTTAGTTACTACAGAGTTTTTTCTGTTTTTTCTTAGCAGTAGTACAGATGAAGTTTACTTTTTCTTTACTTTTTCCACATACGTTTTTCAATTGCTATTCTTGCTTTCATCACTGGGACTTTTGGTCCTCTCCCAGGTCTTGCTTAACTTCAGAGTTCAGCCAAGATTGGCTAGGTGCTGCAGGAGATAGTGAGTTCTAATCTCACATTAGGCCCAAAGCCAGCTGTGGGATCTTGAGCCAGTTGCTGAACTAGTCCAGGCAGCTACCAGGAGTCAACAATGTCTTGATAGCTACCCCTCCCCTCCCTTTAAGTCTGTTAAGATTGCATGTTGAAATCTGACAGAGGCCTTTTTATGGAAGTATGTATATTTTTGACCTTGAATGGTGAACTAGTTATGAAATAAAAATGCCTGGTTTCTTTGATACTTTATATATGTAAGCTATTTGAAAAGAAGGCACTGGCCCTCTCTGTAGATACTTTTTATTGTAACTTGCCGCAATAATTATTTTGTGCAACAGTGCCATCTTCTGGTAAGACTTGAATCATTGAACCATTGGATAAATCTTCAGATCTTGTAAATAAGCCGTACCACTGCTGATAGTGCAACAAACTATCATTTAAAATCTTGGCTTAGTGGGATCTGTGAACTCAACATTGTATTTATGCAGTCGTGTGATTGTGATTTGCAATATTCTCTGCCAACTTCCACAGAAAGTTAAAGGGAGGGGGGATGTTAGAGGAAGTTGCAAACAGAGGGGGCAGAAGGTTGGCACCCTGAAGAAATGGATCCCAAATCTGACAAAAATGCTTGTCAATCCGGCAGAACTTTTTAGAATTTTACTAGTGTTTTCCTTCTCACATGATTTTGAGAAAGAACCTTCCAAACCATTCCAAGAAGGGAGCCTGACTGCAGAATGAAGCAATGGTAAGTGAACCCAGACATGGCAGAGCAGGGAGGGGGTTTAATGCACCAGCTGGCTGATGCCTACCAATCCATGGCAAGTTTCCACCTGCCAGTGGGAGCTGGGCTTCCCAGGACCTCCCACATCCTTTGAAGTATACTGCAGTTGTTGTGTGAGGTGGTCACATGGGCACCTTTCTTAATAACCGCAGTGATTTATGACAACAATTTTGGGTTCAATTCTGGTTGTAAATTGAGAACTATCTCTATACACATTTAAATAAGTCTCATGTCTTAACATTTGGTTAAGAAACAAGCTATAGTGTTCCTTGTAAAAAGAAATACAGTAGACAAGAGGAAGTGGCTAGTGTAAGACCCTCTACAGCAGGGGTGTCAGACTGCCGGCCTGTCATCTGGAAGCCGTGCCCACCCCATTGCCGTCAATGGCAAAATTGGCCCCATATGTTGCACGATATCACGTGATGTCGTGAGTTTGACATATCTGCTCTACAGACTTTAGAAAATTTGACCCAGAGGCATATACAGTAGTGACCAAAATTGTGGAAACCTTTTAGGAAAATTGTACATTTAAGGTTTTATGGCTAATAAGACCACTTTTTTTGCAGTAGTACCATAAAATTATATATCAATGGAAAGATAATTTAATCAAGAATGTAATGCAATAACTTTTATGAAGGATTTGCTATTAGAATAGCAGTTATAAAGAAGAAAAGTGAAACACGTAAAAAAACAAGATATACAAAAATTATCACCATAGAAAAAAATGAGATATACAAAAATTATCACCATGTCAGTTAATACTTAGTTGGGTAACCTTTAGCATGAATTATAGCCTTACAACGTCTTCCCAAGGAGTGAATCAAGTCCTTTAGTTCTGCAGCTGTTATAATGTGAAACCAAGATTGAATGATTGCTTCTATTAACTGGGTTTTATTGCTGGGTCGCTTCTGATTAACAAGTTTCTTTAGTCGGCTCCATAGATTTTCAATTGGGTTAAGGACTGGGCTATTCCCAGGCCATTCCAGCAGTGGAATATGATTATCTTGAAACCACTTTTTGCACACAGCAGCAACATGACATGGAGCTGAATCCTGTTGAAATATAAATGCTTCATTGTCTTGGAAAAGATCATGTGCGGAAGGCTTCAGTTTGGGCT